CAAAGGAGGCTTCAAAAGGTGGGCGAGGTGGGAGTGAGGGAGGGAGGGAGTGCAAGTGGAGGGATTTGCTCGATTCGCTGCGATGGATGCAAACATACAAGCAAGGGTCAGGGTCAAAGTCTTGGAGTGCGTGTGCGTGTGCGACTGATGCACAAGTCAACGTCAAAAGTCGGTCACGAGTCTGACAATTCGCGACGCTTTCGGATGCAAGCAGCTGTGAAGAAGTGCTGTCACGTGCTCCTAACCCGCCTAACCAAACTCGGGCTGTGCATCGCCCGTGCGCACCGCACCGCACCGCACCGCACGATCGAGTCAAGATCGAGTCGCGGCGTGCTGTGTGCATGGAGCGTGGTGGTGGTGGTGGTGGTGGCGCACCATGGCATGGATGGCATGGCATGGCAACACCGCATACACGCTGCCTGCACATTCCCATTCACCCACTCACCCACTCACCCACTCACCCACTCACCCACTCACCCACCACCGAGTGACTCCCAATCATCATCATCGTATACGAAGCATACATTGCAAGTGTGGCTTTTGGTTTGCTTTAAAGATACGCACTGAGCGCACAGGACTGCCTGGGTGGGCAGAGATTGAAACGTCAAGAGCAAAACAGGCATAGCCAGTCGAGTCGAGCCGAGCATGCCTCCCAAAGGTGGTGGTGGTGGAGGAGGAGGAGGAGGAGGAGGAGCGTACAAGTCGTATCATCATCATCACAAGTCCTCCAACCCGCGCGAGACCGCTGCAGCGACAGCAAACAGTCTGAGCGGTAGCGCGAGCAGCAAGTCGACTGCTATCGCAGCAACTCCTCAAGCACATCCGCAAGCGCAGGCTCAAGCTCAAGCTCAAGCTCAAGCTCAAGCTGCACCTTCATCAGACCTCGCCCCTCTGCTAGGTCTCACACTTTCCCTCGTGCTCTATCCCAATGGTAATCCCGTCTCTTCGTCTAGAACAGATGCAAATCAAGCATGGCAAACGGCCGGATCGGGGCACAAGAAGGCATCTGTCAGAGGAGGAGGAGGAGGAGGAGGAGATGCGGCAATGTCGGAAGAGAAGGGCGAAACGGTGATTGGACAACTGTGGGCATATGATGAGGCTTTGGGCGTAGTGGTTCTTCAGTGCGATGCCTCTGCTGGCGGTGTAGGAGGTGCGACGAGCGGCACGGGAACAAATATGGGCGCGGCATGCATCAATCCCACTGTGCTGGCTGCTGCTTCCAATGCTGCCTTGGCAGGTTCTTCGCCCAACACGAACCCATCCACAACGTCGACCTCGACCATCTCGGATCCCAGCATCATCTCAGCTGGCAAGAATGTCCCTTCTTCCTCTTTCTCCTCTCCTGCTCCTCCTGCTCCTGCTCCTGCTCCTGCTCCTGCTCCTGCCCTTCTCGCCCGCACCTCTTTCAAATTGCTCAAGACTCGAAGCATCAAATCCGTCTCGCTCGTGCAAACTTCGATCGGTGCAGCAGCTAGCGGAGCATCTCAATTGAGCGGCTTGAACAGCGTCAACTTGGCACAGGTGGAGAATAGGGAGAGGGTGGCTGCCCTGGATTCGAACAAGAGGTATAATAGGATCGGAAAGGGAGTGGGAAGAGAGGGTCAGATGGTCTTTGATGCGCTCGACAAGACGTGAGTATCTTTCTTTTATGTTTTTTAATTTCTTATTTTGCTTTGCTTTGCTATTTGCGGCACTTGGCGAGCGGAGCGGAGGGCGTGTAGGAGGAGAGAAGGGCGTGGAGCATGGAGCATATGCGGGCGCCGCTTTCGGTAGTAGTCGTCGTCGTCAGGGTGGGAGCGTGTGGGTAGCGCGGGCAGAATGGCACAGTCGACTATGGGCGCCCATGTATGTGTCTTTTGAAAACTTTGTTGTAGTCGCTGACTCACGCGCACCTTTGCCCTTCTCCGCAGTCTTCCATGTCGATGGCACCAAACACACATCATCGTCATGGATGATATTGTGATCGTGAGTTGCAGCACTCTTCTCGATTTGGAAGAGGATGGCCAAAGCAAAGGCAGGCAGTCGACCTGCCCGCTGACCCGGACTGCCCCGTTCCATTTCGGGACCCTTCTTTTTGTTTTGTTTGATTTTGGGCCAGTCCGCACCCTACGTGCCCAGTTCGGTCAGTGTGCCAGGCATCCCTACGGATCTCTTGTCGCTCTTGGCAGAGGGAGAAACGCCAAGCGCCAAGCAACAAACGCAGTTGCCGCAGGGTGCGGCGGGTAAAGCTAGAAGCTGGAAACAGGTCTGCAAAGTGCTGGAAGGCGAGAGGAAAAAGATTAGCGTGAGATTGGCAGCGGAGGGTAAGGCTTGATGTGGATTGTGGGGGGGAGGCAAGCGACGAGGGGCGAGTGGACACGTCGCATTCGGTTTGAGGGGACATGTCATGTGGGGCTCCCGGCTTGAGCGACTTGCAGTGCGAAGCGAGGAATCGATCAATGAAGTCTACTCCTCCCAATCATGCGTACGTCTGTGCCATCACCTACATTCCCCCGTTCTCCCCCGCCCCTCATTGCAAGCAAGGATGCAATCACGATTGTTGCCCGCCCCCCCCGATGGACAACACCACGAAGGACTGTTGCACCGTTTGCGATGTTCTGCGCCTGCACGCCGTGCTTCTATGCTCCGACCGAGCATCGTCAACTGGTTGGTCATCGAGGCCTGTGAATCAAGAATCGTGAATCGTGAATCATCAAGAAGAAGGAATTGTGAAATTTCGATCACGTGATGCACTCCCCCACACTCACGTTGTATTTCAAGATTCTGGATCTCAAAATTGGCTCCAAGTTGCCAAGTTGGCGATGAACGATGCATACATTTGATACATTTCGTACATTTGATACATTTCCTACATTTCCTACATTTGATACATTTCACATTCGCCATTTCAAGATGTCTTGAATCTGATGATTATTCACGAGTTTACTGCACGTCAACATCTTGAACAACGCTGCCCCTGCCCCTGCCCCTGCCCCTGCCCCCGCCCCTCACACACAAGAAACATCTCATTCTTGATTTACACTCGAGATTCTTTGACTAAAGCCCCGCCTCCGCTCAGGCTCAGTCGTCAAGTCCACTGACGACTCCCATCGTCTAGATAGGCTGCTGCTGCTGTTGTTGTGCGCACGAGACCGTGCCACTTCGATGCACTCCACTCGGACGTCCGCGCTGCACTCACGAGAGAAGGCCCATCACATGACCAACACCCACGCCTAACGATGGCGATGAGGATGAGGATGAGGATGAGGATGAGGATGACCGGCTGGATTGGTGGTGCGTGTGCGGGACGATGTTGCGGGTTGAGGAGAATCTCTGTGAGGAACAGCAGCAGCAACAGCAGCAGCAGCAGCAGTAGCAGCAGTAGCAGTGCTAGCTGGAAGGGAGATCCGATCGGCGCACGCCCGCTCCCTTCTCTAGCGCTTGAGCCACCTCACCCTCAGTCTGCAGCAGCGAGGTGCGAGCTTTGTCGATCCAGCACCTACGTCAGCACAGGCACAGGCAGAGGCAGAGGCAGAGGCAGAGGCACGGTAACAGGCACAGGGCCCTGTAGCCGATCCTTCTCTAGCAGTGCTCATGCTCGCGCCAGCTCGAGCACAGCCTCATCCACACCAACACACACACCGACACCGACACACACATTCAACAAGGCCATCTCGACATATCGCAATATCTCCATTTGGGGTCACATAGACGCCGGCAAGACATCCTTGACCGAAAAATTGCTCTACCTATCCGGCGCTCTTCATGCTCCTGCTGCTGCTGCTGGCGGTGGTGGTGGTAAAGAAGAGGAGGAGGAAGAGGAGAGGGAGAGGGAGAATATCGTCATGCTAGGTTCCGCACCTGGAGATGTGGACAGTGGGAGTACGGTGACTGATTTTCTGGAGGAAGAGCGTCGAAGAGGCATCACGATTCAAAGCGCTGCTGTTGGTCCTTTCAAATGGAACATTAGCCCTGCAGCAATGAATATCGAGCGTCAAGATCAGCAAGAAAGGACTGCAAATGCAAATGCAAATGCAACTGCAACTGCAACTGCATCGCCATCTTCATCCGCATCCGCATCCGCATCCGCATCCGTGCCCAGCAGAGCTAACATCACCCTGGTGGATACGCCGGGACATGTGGACTTTACCATCGAGGTGGAGAGAGCACTTAGAGTCGTAGACGCTTGCGTCGTCGTGCTGGACGGCGTGGCGGGCGTGGAATCTCAAACGAGGAACAATTGGAACATTTCTGCTCGGTGAGTCTGGGCGTTGGCTTGTATGCGGCGAGGCACAGGAAGCAAAACCGTTTGGCTCACGTTGACGTTGCCCCCGCTCCTTCGCATGTGTGCGCGCGTCCCACGCTGGCACGGCCACGGCAGGTATGGACTACGATCTCACATGGTCTTCATCAACAAGCTGGACCGAGCTGGTGCATCCGTCTCTCGTTGTCTACGCTCCATCATCCGCACCCTTCATCCCCAACCTCTTTTGCTCCAACTACCCATCCCAGCTATCAAAGCCTCCTCGGCCGAAAGCACAACCCTGGCAGGTCTCATCGACCTCCTTCATCTTCGCGCTCACACTTATACAGGCGAAGCGGGCGAGGTGATGAAAAGTTTGGAGTTGCAAGAGGCGATGGCAGAGGGACTTGTGCAAGAGGAATTGGCGAGGGAGTGCAAGAGGGCTAGACATGCCCTGGTGGAGAGCGCAGCTTCTCTGGACGATGAGCTGTTGGAAGAATTGTTGGATCTGGATGCTTCATCTCAACGCGCAACAAGCACAGCTTCTGCTCACGACAAGGTATCGGCGCAAAGCTTGCTAAAGGCTCTGCGTCGCCTCGTTCAGCGAGGAACAGCATTGCCTGTTCTGCTAGGTAGCGCGATGAAGGGCATAGGAGCACAAGACGTCCTCGACTATGTAGTGCAGCTCTTTCCTAGTCCCGATCAGGCTGGCGATCCGGACGCTTCGAGGCAGAGGGGCATCAAAGAAGAGAGCGGTGCCGTTTGGGCTGAACTTTCGCCAGAAGCGGATAACGGCAAGGGCGGCAGAACGACGAGAAGGGGAAATACGTCGACAATTGCATCGGGACAGACTAGAGGTAGAGGTGGCGGTGGCAGTGGCGCTGTGCAAGAAGCAACTCCTGTCCCTGCTGCCGCCAGTGCTTTATCAGGCGCAAGTCTGGACGCAGACAACCGCGTAGCCGTGAGCATAAACGATTCGGAGCTCTCGCTGCTCGCTTTCAAAGTGGTGCACGATAAGCGCAGAGGTCCATTGACTTTTGTGCGCATCTATTCGGGCACCATGACTCGAAGCACTACGCTGTTCAATACGAGTAGCGGAGAAAAGGAGAGGATAAGCAAGATGATGCACGCTTTTGCGGATCGGTACGACGAGACTTTGTCCTTGGGAGCGGGACAGATTGGCGTGCTTTTCGGATTGAAGGATACTAGGACTGGAGATACGCTGGTCGATCTCAAAACTGTCAATACATCATTTCCAAAGGCGAAAGGGAAAGCAGGAGCTTCGACGACGACGACAACGACAGCGATGCAAACGCCTTGGGCTAGACATGCCAAAAGACTTCGACTTAGAAAGGTGCATGTTCCACCGCCCGTCTTTAGCATGTCTGTCGAAGCTCGCTCCAAATCGGACGAGGAAGGGGTGCACGAAGCCTTGTCCATGCTAGTCCGTACGGATCCCAGCCTTCGATTGGATCAGGGACAACAGCGGCAGAAGCAAAGACAAGGTTGGTCCGCATCCACCTTTGACTCGTCCTCATCGTCAGCAGCAGCAGAAATGACGAGTTTGGGATCGGCAGGAACGGGACAGACGGTGCTTTCGGGAATGGGAGAGCTGCACTTGGAGATTGCCAAAGGACGCTTGACGGAAGAGTTTGGAGCGAATGCGAGGATGGGAAGCGTCAGGGTATCGTATAGGGAGACTTTGAGAGACGAGACGAAAATCTGCACGGTCAGCGAGGTGCTGGACAAGGATGTGCTGGGAAAAAGGCTCAAGGCGGCCATCACGCTGGATGTGAGGAGGCTTAGGCAAGAAGAGGAGGAAGAAGAAGAAGAGACGGATGAGTTGGAAAGGTTGGGAGGTGGCAATAGACTCGAAATTCGACTTGGAGATGCGGAATTTGGAAACGAGTCTAGATCGGCTGCGCAAAAGGCGGAAAGCATTGCCAGACATGAGAAAGGAGGAGGCAAACAATTCGTGGAGGAGGAGGAGCAGTCTACAGGTGCTGCGGGTTCAGGCAGCAACAGTGGCAGCGCATCTGCATCCGCATCCGCATCATCGCCCATTCATCCCGATACGCTCACTCCTCAAGCTATGCGCCAAGCATTGCGAGCAGGCATAACCGCTGCGCTCTCTCGCGGTCCGTTGACTTCCAACCCGATAGAAGGTCTGCGCATCACTTTGCGAAGTCCTCAAACTTTCGGAGCAGAATTCACGCCGGCTAGAGCTCTTTCCATCGTTGCTCGTACTGCTCTTTTGCGCGCCCTGAAAGAAAGCTCGACTTCTCCTGATGAGAGAACAATGGCAGCAGGAGCAGGAGCGGGAGGGATGATGATGATGATGATGATGGAACCGATGATGCATCTGCAAGTCACGTGTCCCGAAAACAGTTTGGGAAAAGTCGTGGCGGACCTGACGACGCAACAAGGAGCTAGCGTGGTTGGCGTGGATCATGAGGATGCAGCTCTGCATGGCGGTGGAGCTGTGGAGGATCAAGAAAGCGCAGCAGGTATCTACCTTCCGCCAGAAGATCAAGATGGAACGGAAGGTGTTGCTGCTCAACTCTCTTCAACTTCCAACTCGAGCTCTTCCCAGGGCATCACTGCTTCTTCTTCTTCATCATCATCATCATCATCATCATCATCATCCATCTCGACCACGACAACGGTACATGCCCTTGCGCCCCTCTCCAATCTCGTCAGTTATAGTTCCAGATTGAGAGCTCTTACCGCCGGCAGTGGGACTTTTACGATGCAGCTGCAAGGTTTCAGACCTTGCGCCAATGTGGAGAGGGAAAGGGACATTTTGAGAGAGTTGGGAAGAATGTGAAAAAAATGCTGCAATCGTGAATGCGATGCAATGTGGCACCTCAGCTCCCCCTCCCCTCCCGGCGGCCCCCTTTTTTTTTCCCAAATTCTCCTCGTACTTCTATCATTAGCATGCTTTTTTTGGCCAGTGAAATCGACGATGCAATTGGGGCCACGTGAATGCGAAATGGTCAATGCGCTTTTGCTATTGAAGCACCGACCCGCTGTGTTTGTGCCCCCCTTCAAGACCTTTGGATTCGATTTGCCTGTTTAACAATTCGAGTGACGGGCAAAAGGATGCCCCCCCAAACGCTCACGACGCGCGCTCGCAAAAAAAAATTCATGAGGGCATCTCGCATTAAACCAGACTACGCATGCTCGAGGCAACCATCCATCCGTGACGTAGAGAGAGAGAGAAGGGGTGGGGGGGAAATGCAGAGATGGGAAGAGAAAGAGAGCGAGAGAGAGAGAAAAAGCAGAGACGTGCGACGCGACGCGAGACGGAATGGGTAAGTGTGAGAAAGCGGAGAAATGTAGCGAGCGGTCGCTGCTGCTGCTGCTGCTGCCCCCTCCGCTGCGCGTTGCTGCTGCTTCTTGTCGGGGGGGCATTGGCGACGAGTGCACAAGCAAGCAGCGCGAAGAGCGCAAAATGCACTTTGGCGAAAGGAGTAAAAGAAGACGCACCGTTGGGAAAGGATTGTACAACTTAAAAAAGCGCAAGAGAGAGTGTAGCTGCACAAGCGAAAGGAAAGAAAAAGAAAAAAGAAAGCGGGACGAGAGAGGCAAAGGGCACGAACGCAGGGAGGGGGGATGGCAGGGATGATTTTTGGGCGAAACCAACACGGTTCCGGCGCGCGTGAGATGGCAAGCAGTAAATTCAGACTTTTCATCACCACCAAGCTAGCCAAGGATCCATCTCGGAAACTTTTGAAAGTTTCAATCTGGTGGGGGGGCAAAAGGCGGAGGAGCCGTGACGCAGCAGCAGACTGGGGGCGCCGAGAGTGGCTTTCTGAACGCGCGACTACGCTCCTGCTGATCCGTGTGCGCCGTGACGCATGGAGTCGTGTGACCAAGGTCATGCTCGGACAGCTTTGCAATCTCACGACGTGGCCGGTACCCCAGCTCGTCCATCTTGCGGTCCCAATTCCATAGCGTCAACGACCGCCTTGCCAATAGCAGGTCCAGCATCGTGCGTAGGGTCCACACGTCCCGATTCCAGCGCTTCCGTGTACTCTTCCACGCTCCTGACCAGGTTCAAGAAGCGCGGGTCCTTGATGAAACGCGGCACAGAGTCCGTCGCCATCAGCCTGAAGATGTGATCCTGTATGCGCTCGTACAGCCTAACCATGGTCTGGAGTTGGCTCGCATGCAGAGGCGCCTTGGGCATGCTGGCGTGCACCGCCGCCCTCCTTTCTTCCAGTCCACCCGGCGGTCCAGGCGGCGAGAAAGCGCCAGCAGGTCCGCTTTGACCGCCATTGCGCAACTGCTGAGCGCTGACATTTTCCAAACCTTCTCCGCCTGGGCCCTTGGCATCCGAGATGACCTTGTTCATGTAATTGACCAGGTCAGCTCTCAGATTGTGCTCAATATTGAGCTCGCAAGGCGAAGCTGGCGCCAAGTAGGTGTTGTAAATGACGAAAGCCATCGCTATCAAATCTTGTTGATGCCTCTCCATTGCCGTGTACCCGTAATTGGCATTGTTGCTGCTTCCCGTCACGCCCCTCCCCAATCGCTTGACGGCATTGGCCACTCCGCTTCCACCTCCACTCTTTTCCTTTTCCTTTGCCCCTTCCGAAGGTCGAATGGCGACCGCGCTGCTCGTAGTGTGGAACCTCCTCTTAAAGTCCTGCACATCCAACCAAAAGCTCAAATTCTCTTCGCAAAAGTTCTGCTTCAGGAATTCCCTAAACAGCGACCGCAGCGCTGGCTCTTCCAAGATTTGCTTCAATCGATTCGTGTTGCTGTCCCGCGCATTGTAGCCTCCAAGCTGGGCAGGTAGCTCCGTATTTCCAAAGCCTGGCGAGCTGGATTGCGCACCACCGCTGCTCGGAGGCCTGCCTCCGCGCCCCACATACTCGTTCCGCAACCTTTCCGCAGCAGAAGGTTTCCTGTTCAAGGCGCGCTGGCTGTCCGAGCTGGGAGAGCTGTTTCCCGCATGAGGTCCAGATCGGTCTCCGTTGATGCCGACAGGAATGCCAATGCCAGACCCGGTATCATTCTGGTTTGATCGTTGACTGCCAGCGGCAGAGGTCGGCCGCGCTTGCTGGTACTGCAGCTCTTCCTGCTCCAGGCCGCCGGAATGGTAGCTTTGCACTTGACTGTAATCAGAGAGGTGACCGTAGCCTGCCCACCTCGCTGTAGTCCTGCCCTTGTCCGTCACCGCGTACATGCACTTGTAGTGGCATTTGAACTCTCCCTCTGTCTGGTTGCCATGCGCATCTTCTCCCCGCACCGCAACGTTGGCTGTTTCGTCCGCATCTTTCCTGCTGCGATCGTAGGCCAGCTGGATGAAACCTAGCCTCACAAAGTGGGCTGCGATCTCCGCCGCTTCGTCCCTACCGCAGATGGTCGTAAAGTCGCAGAGCCAATCCAGCGCCGCGATGGACGGAAAGCAGTGCTTGGCCACATGAAGCGTCGTCTGAGTGGACTTGGGCAGCCGAACCCTTTCTGACAGATCCTGCATCTCTATGCCCATCGTTCGATCAAATTCTCCTTCGGAAGGGATGGGTTGTCCATTCTCCCGAATCTCTGCCGAGGGTGGGTAGTTGGGTTGTCGGCCCACGAAGCGCCTAAAGATCACCTCGATGACCGGCCTATTGATGAGGAGCTCGTCGTCGTGCGTCCGCCTCTCCAAGTGAAGCAGCTTCATGCAGATGGGCTGGCTGGAGAAGACTGGCAAGAGGTGCTCGCCATTGATGCCGTTCTTGGTGATGAAGCGTTCGAGGATGTGCAAGCCTTTGGGAGTGATGACGTAGATGCCCTTGTCCTTGAACACGCTGCTGCCAACATCTGTCGCATTCTCGATCAGCCTTGCATCCATAAAGTGCTGGCAGATCCCCTTGGCCATGTCGCGATTCATGCTAAAAGTGGTCGTCGTCGTCGTCGTCACCACGCGACTGGGCTCGTTGGGATCGGGCGCACGATTGGATTGCGAGAATTTGAGGGCTGACAAATTCTCTGCAGCCTCGTCTGTTGTGAACGAGTTGGGATACTGCTTGAAGTACTGTCGATGTGTCTGGAGCTGCAACGACACTATCAGTGTGGCAAAAAGATCATGTGTGTCCTGTGCCAACAGCGAAGCAGAATGTCAATCACGCGCTCGGAGCAGCTAGTTCCCTTCCCTCGACCCACCTTTGCAAAAGGCCGGCCTCTCCTGGTCGTCTTCATCATCCTGCTGCTGGTCTGTTGCCGCGTACGCAGCTGCTCATTGCTGCTGCTAGCGCTGGCCGACATGCTGCCAAATGGGGCCCAATCTCCGCCCTCTGGCTCGTAGAAGTCAAGAGATCGAAGCTGCCCAGCCTGCAAAGAAGAAGAGTGTCGAGGAGTAGTGACGGGCATTTTTTGCAAATGCGGAGAGCAGGGTCAGCACAAAGTCTAGCGACGCGTATGGCCGGGAATGAGAAAGAAGGGGTGGACGAGAAGCAAGAGTGATGGAGAAGGGGGCATTGCCAAACGGAGCACCAGCGAGTGCGATCGGCGGAGGGGTACGTCTGCGCCACCAGCCAAGGCCCAATCGCGCTTTTCACACCTATAGCGCAATGAGCAATTTTGCGCTGGCGGTGCGTCGCGGCGCTGGGTGGATAGCGGCACACGATCATGGATGCTTGGCAGTGATTTGGCGCCAGGCCCAACATCGACAGCTCTGGTGACTTGCCACTAGGAGAAAGATTCCACAGCGCGTCCTTCTGGGCGGCAAGCTTTGGTCGCACACCGCTGCACAGCCTTCCAGCTGCCGAATGGCCGGGCAGCGGCAGCGGCAGCGGCAGCGGTCGCGATCCGCGCTGTCCTGGAGCGAGCATCGAGAGAATCGGTGCAGCCGCACCTGACGTTCTATCGCACCGAGTCCTCACTAGGAATCGAAGGTGAGTGCGGTTGCTACTGTACGCCGAGCGAAGATGTGGCGCAGATCCGTGCTGTGCTACATCGCTTTGTACCGGTGCAGCTGCCGCTGCCGCCTTGCCTCTCCCTTCGTGAACGGCGGCCCGTTGAAGTGGTGCCACGCTTGTCAAATCGGCACAGAGCGGACCGCCTTGCCGCGGTTTGCCACTGATTCGCTCTTCCGCGCACAGAGGCTGGAGGGGGGAGGGGGGGCGGACATCTGCTGTTCTGCTGCCTCTCAGATCATTGCCTGGCTCTTCTCCCTCATCTAAGCCCACGCTCGTTCCTGCACTGGTCGAGGTAATGTTGTTCCTAAAGCGAAATGAGACCAAAACTCACCTGGATTCCGCTTGCCTTCTGCTTAGACAAGTTCGCCCTGCGCAGCTAAGCCAAAGACGTTGTGAATGTGGGACCCCCTCCTCCGATAAAAATCAAAATCTGCCTTCCCTTCTCTCGGCCACCTGGCGGACTGCTGCGTACGCGACGATGCGATAAGTGATCGAGTGCGACAACTCGCAATCGGTTGGGCCGGCCTGGCCTGTGTTGAGAAAGGCGCGGAAGGGGCTGAGGTAGTTGTGGGGAAAGTGCAGATGCAGAACAGGCTCCGGTGCGCCGAACTATCCTTTGGAAGTGAGATGGGGTAGCGTCGGTTATTTGGTTGGGAGAGTTGTACCCGAGAAGCGATTGTATGCGGATGATTTGATCTTGGATGCAGAGGAAGGATGAGAGGCGCGAGTGGCAGATGGCAGAAATGCGCCTGAAAAGCTGAGCTTGAGCTTGGAGCTTGGTTGGACGTCTGGCAGGCAGACTTTTGAGCAGATTGGAGCAGATGGCCGAGGCGAGGCAGGGCAAGTTGGTCGACAGCGCACCGAGCGGCAAGAGGGAAAGTATGAGCGAGTCGAGTCGAGTCGAGTCGAGTCGAGTCTCGAGCAGTGAAGCGAGTTGAAAAGACTTGAGCGAACAGACGTGACCTGCTGGGGCGCGCGCGGTGAAGAGTCACGAGTGAAGGTGGTCTTTGGCAGCAGGTTTGAGCGTACAGACAGCGTATCACTGCAGTCACGATCCAGTCGACGTGCATGGGATGGGCGTAGTCACCACAGTCACGGTCTCGAGTCGCATCAATTAACAGAGTGCGTCACAGCCAGGCAGGTGCCTCTCTCTCTCTCTCTCTCTCTCCCCCACGCGCAGGAGACCAGCTGAATGGTCCTTGTGCGCTTTGCCTGCTCTGGCCGGTTGAGGGTACAGGTACAGTCGGGAGCAGCAGCAGCGTAGGAGATGCATACTGTAGCTGTGGTACGTGATGCCGGGCCACGCTGCCTTGGTCAACCAGGCCCATGCAGCTGCAGCGCATACCCATGCATGACCTTGATGCATCCTCATTCACATTGCATGCATGCATGCATGCCGCTGCTGCTGCGTGCTATGTGCTCGCATACAATCATCTTGAATACAGAACGCTGTGCTTATCGTGAGCAGCTGCTGCACGACACAGCTTACTCGCTGGAACCTCGTCCATCGCGGTCAAGCTTTCAATATCAAGTTTGAAACAGCGCATTTGACTGCATTTCAATATTGAGCTTCACATTCAATCGCACTTTGCCGACCATGCATCTGTCAAAGTTGCGGGCGAAGTTTCTTGTCAAGTTGTGGAGCGCTCTTCACTTTTGACTCACGACAACAGCAACAGCTGCTGGTGATGGCCTGGTCAAAGTCGTGATCATTCAAGTGACGGTGACGGTGACGGTGACGGTGACGGTGACGGTGTGCCAAGGTCCGAGTCAAGGACTTGCTTGGCTGATGGCGCAAGCAGATGCGCTGGCTCATGCTGACTCTTGACTGCGTTGCGCACGGCACTGCGCCCATGCAGCGATCCGTGCGGGATGCATTGCATGCATACAGCGATCGAGCGGCATGGGCGATGAGAGAAGGCATTCACGATTGCTGCAGTGCGAGAGTCGACCCCGCACGCCTCGGGCGCACGCGCGCACATCCTGTAGCCATCTATATTATTGCGGTCGTGAGCATTTCATCCCAGATTTCCACGATTCGAGATCGCAATTAAGCAGCTAGCTGTTTGCATCTGTGCTGCTGGTTCCAACGCAGCGGTTGAGCACCTCGTGAGCGCACCGCACCGCACCGCACCGCACCGCACCGCACCGCACCCTACATTTGATTTCCTCCCCTCCCAGCTCCCTCTTCGGATCCGCTACTTTGCGGAAATCGTGCGCGCCGCGCCGCGCCGCTCTGCCATCCTTGCAAGCACGTGCGTGCAGTCCTTCCAGCCGTCGAGGATCAAGAACGTCAAGAAAGTTTGAGGCGAGTGTGTTTCGACGAGAGTCAGGAAGTCACGAGTTACGAGTTACGAGTTACGATCACGATGCAGTGGGGATGTGAATGGTCAACAGTCGTGAGTGCTAAGTAAGCGAGAGTCTCACGGGCCGTTGTTAATCGAGTTCGGTAATCGTGAATGCAGTACCGGTAGCGGAATCCGAGGTTGCGAATACGAGCTGATGAGACTTGGTTTGAAGAGGTGCAAGTTTAAGTCAAGCCAAGCGACATGCATGCTTTCCCTCAATCAAGCAGCAAAGCAGTCAGTCGATCTTTCAGCGGGAAAGGAGGACCAATGAAGATGGCACGGAGAAAGGTAGGTAGGTATACACTCTTGACTATTCGTGATTATTGTAGCTCTGTGATGATGGCTGCCGCATAGCATGCATATGCATACATGCACGACACGCAGCATGTAAGAGGGCGTAGCTCGCCTGCACCTCGGCCAGCAGCTGCATGGCGTGCGCAAGGACAGAGGCAAGTTACATGGTGCAATTAAGCGATCATGCTGATGTGCGTCAGACATAGGAACGAAGGAACGAAGCAGAGCAGATGCGCGGGCGCGCATATTATAGAGTCACGAGTGTCGAGTGCATAAATGTAGCTACTGTAGCTACAAGCAGCACAGGGCAGCTGCATATGGCAGCTACAGTATATAGGGCCCCAGTCAAACGTTGGCCCCACTCCCACTTGATCTTGACTCGCGGCTCATGCACCAAGACTCACACTCGTGACTTGGCCTCACAGCGCAAAGCTTCGCCGCAAACATGAAGCCACACAGACTTTTGACTTTTGGCGAGTCGGGTTGGGTTGGGTTGGGTTGGGCGAGGGAGTGCGCAAGCTATCCTTGGACGTGGCATTTTGATTCCAGAGGCCTCGAACTCGAATCACGTAGCAGCGCGATGCTTGTCCACATGCAAATGGAGCGACAAAGCAAGACTCGCTTCGGCAGCGTCGATGTCGATGCTCCCCCAGCAAGTCTGTTCGAGCTTGTGTCTGATGTCGCATCGCTCGCCTAGTCGGCGAAATGCGTCTCCAACGCTTATCGATCTGATGGTGGGTACCACATTCAGAAAGCGTCATGCACAAGTGTTCGGACAAGACCTGATGAGGGGTGAATTTGCAGAAAGAGTAAATGTGAGTTGACAGAGAGCAGCCTAAAAGGAATGGACGAGCGTGGGGGGGGGCAAGATCAAAGAGTGCGGAGAGGGGCAAAGGGAGAGGCGAGACGCATCAAATGAATGAATCGAGCGCACAGGTGCGAGACGGAAGGAGGGGGGTACAAGGGCGTCGTTGAAGGTGAAGCTCAAACGACGCTCGACGCTAGAGCGCATTACCTGCGGCATCATTGGACCGAGGGGATGACTGGATGCCCGCGCAAGATACGGAGAATCAGCGTGCTCAGTCACGAGTGAAAGGCGGCTGGCTCGCCACCATGTTGCGTCCAGCCGTGCTTTTGAAAGTCGGGCTCGCTGGTCTGCTGAACGTGCGCGTAGTTGGGCTGATCGTACTTTTGAGCGTACTCGGAGTGTTGACTAGCCATCTCTTGACGCGCTTCTTCCGCATCGTATCTAGACTCCGCATCGTTCTTTTCGCGAGACAAGACCGAGTAGGTGCTGCGCTGAAAGACGCCGGGAGTAGTAGCCTGAGCATTGCCTCGCAGTGCACCGTCGTGTCCCATTGGTGGAGCTCTGGTAACTTTGCGACGTCGTTTGCAGATCAAGGCGCACAAACCGATGACGATGGCACCAAGCAGTGCAGCACCAACAATGATGCCGATGCGCGCTGCAAGAGATATATCCCTAGAAGGCTCATCATCGTCGTTGAAGTGATGCGTATCCATCCAGTCTTGACGCGGCGAGCCCCACTTGCCAAAGTCCATGTTCCACGATTGACCTGGACGGTGCGTCTGGGCAGCAGCTGCAGCGCTTGTGAGCGAGTCATACAAGCCAAATTTGGCGGCCTTTAGTCTGCTCGACGCAAGCTTGCCATGCGCCACCGGCAAAGCACCCGTCGGCACCGCGGCAAGACGCTGCTGCGCGGTGTTGGGCAGCGTTGCTGCGGGCCAGTCAACGACCTGCTTGGACGCCGTTTGCGTGACAATAGTCCATGGATAATCTTCAGGCTTGACGATGGTAGGCCCGGGCTGGACATGGGGTGCATCGGCATTCGGCGTAGCCCCGGGCGGTGCTTCACTGAAGTTCGGGTCGTCGTCTTTTGGTGCTTCTCGACTTTTCACGCTTCCAGAAAGATGGGCGAGGCCGATGGAAGGAGGCTCGAATCTGAAGGCTGCAAACACATTCTTGAGTACCGATGCGCCAAAGAGTAGAGGTTGTACAGGACCGTCTGCGCTTGCGTCGACATTCGAGGCGCTGTTCCGCCTGCACACAACCTTGCCTTTGCTGTCGTGCATTCTTGCAGACACCAGATCCTCCATATCGATGTGGAACTCTTGCCCTCCGAACGCGAGGGTCAAGTTGAGAGTGGCCGGGCCGGCACCAGGCAAGGAGCACGGGAACGTCGTGTATCCCAATTCTTCCTGGTATCGCGCACCTTTGACTTTGGAAAACATGTCATCAGTGATCCACGGTGGCATGGACATGTCGATACCTCCAGTGTCAAAATGTGCGGGCAATTTGCGCGAAGTCTCGATGATCTTGCCGTTGACTTTGAGATAGTCGATCTGCGCAAACCAGCCATTGGGCTTGCCTACGAGCTCCTTGGGCATCGGAGCAGGGTATGCATCTGAGGTGACGAGAGGTGCCCAGGCGATCTCGCCGTCGTATTGTGTTCGATCAAGACTGCCAATAGTGAAGAGCCCACCAGGATTATCGCTGGCTGCACCTTCATGGCCATCCGAAAGATCTTCTCCGCCGACATTGCGAAGCAGAGCAAAAGTAAACAAGGGCTCTTCCAAGGCTCCGGATCTCCATAGGTACTCGAGTGGATTGATAAAGGGGTAGTCGCCCGTCGCGCCCATGGCGCTCCAGCCAAGGCCGAAGAGACCACCTAGATTCTTTCCAGCTTGCGTTATGGTGCCTTGCGTAAGATACAGAAAAGGCTGCTGCTCGATTTTGAATCCAGCAATCTCGACAGTGTCCTGCAAGTAAACGCCGTAGCCAACATCCGCTCCTGATCCATAAGCGACGCTTCCTTGCAGATTCGTAGTGCCATTCTGCAAGGTCACTGCGTGTGAACTTGTGCTGTTGTTCCAGTCATAGGTCGCATTTCCTTGGAGAAGTTCAGCTGGAGGGAGTGTCGAAGCATCTCCGGACTCGCTCGCCTCTTGAGCATAGCTCGCATTAAGACCTTTCATGAACTCCGGCGCGTATATGACCGGAGCGGAGCTTCCAGTGTCCATGAGTACGTGTACATCAACCGCAGGCGTGCCGACCTGCCAGACGGCCGAATAGAACGTGTCCATTCCGAGGTCTTCCAATGCGGTAGCATTGGTAGCGCGATCAGACTCCTTGCGAGAAAGCAAACGTTCATCTCGAACGCCTGTCGAGCTTTTTGCACGTTTGGACAAGCGCAAAGGTACCCTGAAGCTTTGCGGTCGAATCGCCTCGGATCGCTTGACAGCTTGTGGGCTCAGCAATGTAGACACCTCCCTCCACTGAATAGGCGGAGGGGACGGAGCGGCGCTGACCGCGAGGGCACAAACGACCAAGAGGAACAGAGTCATTCGAGCACTGAGTCGCATGCTGGGCAAAGAGGGAAGGGGGGTCGAACGGGGACCACGAGGAGAAGAAAAATGCGGCGGAGCTTGACTGTAGATGGAGAGGGATGTTGACGGGCAAGTCTTGCATGGCTCATATATAGACTCGCGAACGTTGGTTCCCTAGTTGCCTCATGCTCGACATCCACCAGACCGCAAGATGCAACTGGCTCTTCTGAGACACGAGCGTTCGTGCAAAGTCTCTGCTCATGCTCAGGAAGCATTCCAGCGTCACTAGATAGTGAAGAGTCAGAGCGCAACACTCCTCCAGCAGCAACATGGGTCTGTGCTGGGTCGATTGAGATTGCGACTTTTGAGCACCTCGTGCTCGCCTCGACGAGGCCACACAGCCCCAAAGCCCATCAGCCGGCGCCTCGCGCCTCGCGGACCCTTTTCCTCACAATCGTGAAATGAATGCGTGCTTGCGCGACGGGAGAAGATGCACCATGCACGATGGACCACGCGGTCGCGTTTGATCCGTGTGAATGCGTGCGGCGCGCCTCGCCACTCGCGGCCCTCGGCCCACGGTCCTTGAACACTTTTTGACTCTTGACTGTTGACTCCCTTTGTCATTTCGTGTCCCTGGGCATGGAGTGGCTAAGGTGAAGCCGGCTAGCTTGCTTCGCGGAAAAGCGTCGTTATTAAGCAATCAGCAGCCCTGTGCTCTTGCCTGATTGTAGTATGACGACTCGGGCTAAATTTTGTGCGCCGGCAATGCGGCGCGCACACACACATACACATTGCTCGCGTCGAGACCATCAGCAAAATGCCGATCCTTTGACTCTTGATCATTCCCTGCTCTTCCACCAGTGACGGTCGCTTTGCAGGTTGTCTTGCCCAGGGACGTGGTAGATGTATGGGGGAAAAGGGGGCCAGCCCGTCGTCGCGGACATCGTAACTGCTCGGATGGCGAGAAGCTGGGCGGTGCAAGTCGATGGCGGGCTGCGCTGCGCCAATCCACATGGGTGCATGCATATCGTGGCCTCTGATTGCGCTAAATCTTTCCTCGAACGCGTCCTTTGCGCCACAACGACGATCGAAAGACCTCGCGGGGGAGGAGATGGCGTGCAGCGGCCTAGCTGCTGAAGGTGTCGCTTATCATCGGTCCGCAGGAGCCTCGCGAGGCAATCCAGCCGGCAGACAGAAGGTGGTGCTGTGCTGATGCCGCAAGTCAGATTACAGCACTGATCCAGCAAGTCCGGTTTGGCCGAGCGCCGTCAGGCGGAAAGCAACGTCAGGATGAGCCGCGAGTTGCCGAGGTGTGTGTGGACACATGCTGCTCCCTCATCGTTCCACGTACCATGCTTGGTTGCGTCGAGAGATCAGAGGTGGCCAAGACGAGCGCGCTCCGGAAGTCGCGTCTGATGAGACTGTTAAATTACAATTGACCAGCATGCCACGAGCAGTATAACCGTTTGGAGCTGCTGTAGTCGGACCAAGCGAACGTGGTCGTCCAGCGTCTTCGATCTCGATCTCGAAGCCTAGTCATGTGGCGCAAATCTTTGAATGAAGTCGTCATGCGGACCTGCACGGCTCTGCCATACGTGTCACCCGCCATCTACTTTGACCTCTCATCAGCCCATCTCTTGCTCCTCGTCCTCCTCATCATCATCGTCGTCGTCGTCGTCTTCGTCTTCGTCAGCCTCATCTTCATCTTCATCTTGACGTGTAGCCTGTGCATTCGCTTCTAACGAAGGCCCACGACCAGCCAAGCTGAGTCTCTCAAGAACTCTGCGCGTAGCCAGCTCCATCCTCTCCTCTTCAATCGCTTGCAAAGCTTCTTGCGCTTGAGCTTCCAGCGCAGCAGCTTCCGTCGAAGTCAAGATTTGTACCCGGGACTTGCGAGCTGTCGTCGCTTGTACCTGGCACATCGGAAAAGAGGGGGTGGGGGGAACAAGAATGAACTGGGACGTCGTCAACCCGTCGCTCGATGTACAGACCCAAAGTCGCAATGTAAAGAGCTCTGCAAGGTCACTCACCAACTCCTCCTCTCTATCCTGCTTTTGTAAAAACCTCCTTGCCCGCGTCGTGTACCTGGGGGCAGGTTGTGCAGACGCTCTGTCTTCCGTGGGCGAATGGAGCGTCGGTGTGGATGGTTCGCTATGCGACTGTGCTCCTTGCCGCTCCAAGCTCAACGAGTCCATCTCTCCACTGATCGAAGCCTCTCTCTTGAAGCTCAACAGCTCCCTAGCTCTTTGCGTATCCTCCTCGATCCTACACTTATCCTCTTCGCTCAGCACCTTGCTCACTTCCAATCGACCCATCAACGATTCGTTCCGATCGATGACTTCTTGCAGTTGCTTCTCCGTCATGCGTTGCATGTCGGGCTGACGAGCGGGTCGAGGCGTGAAGAGGCTGGAACGAGGAGCAAGCGAAGTAGCTCTTCTCGAACGAGGATCTTCTCTGACGCGTGTTTGATTTTTGGGAGATCGGTCACCTCTCCATTGTGCTTGCTGAGCGCTCGAGCTGGAAGAAGCGCCGGTGCGAGCACGAGTATTCATGGCGGGTGGAGAAGAGCTGCGTCTGTACAGATGGGGCGGTGGTGGAGCATGAGTGCTACTGCTGGGCTCACCGCCCATGCTCGCAAGAGATCGTCGAGCGTGCACCTGCTCCATCATGGTCAGCTCGGCGAAAGCCTTTGAAGCGTACGCGACATTGGCATCGTAGGGCTCAACAGCCAGTGCGAGCGATGATGATCCGTCCTGCCAACCAGAGCCAGAAGCTTCGACGGGTGGTGCGTCCATGCCTCGTTTGCCTGGACCTGGCAAAGGTATCATGTCGGATCAAGCTTGTGCGAGGGCGTGGGCGAGGGTTCTGTAGGACGACAAGAGCCAAGTCTCGGGCAGGTGGCAGTCTATCACCGCGGGATTCGTGCTGAGTAGCGTGTGCTGTGTGCTAGCTCCGCCCCACAAATGCAAAGTGGAGGGGAGTGACGAATGCAGGATTGTGTCAGATGGGCGTGGATGGCAGTCAAGTGTGGATGGCTCAGATGTAAAAGTCACGGTGGGTGCGGTGGTGGAAGAGCGACCAAGGAAAGATGGTGGATGTTGGATGTGGATGTGGATGTGGATGTGGATGTGGATGTGGATGTGGATGTGAGAGTGGAAGTGGATGGGTGGATGCGCGCAATTGTGGATGAATGTATTCAAGATTGAAGCGGCGTGCGAGCGTGCATGCACACATGCATACGGTGCCGTACCTACAGGCACATCCCCCTCATCAAGTTTCAGGGCGCCCCGTGCACAACTCCATCGACGCCTCTCACGTGATGTGAGAATGAATTCCCGTCGGCGCCCAATCGAGGTGGTCCCCCCCCTGTCAAATGAGAGAATGAGGCACAGAGCAGACATGTTCGATGACGCGCCGTGTACAAGCCCCTCCCTTGCCGCTCATCAGCACCGCCTTTGGCAAGCGCATGTTTGCGGAAAACGTATAGGGAAGTTCGATTTGAGCGCATTGATTTGAAGTATTTGAAAGGCCATGCGTGAGGCACCTGGGGAGCGGTGGGCGCATCCGCACCCGCACCCGCCATTTGATATTGCCTTGGCAGCTCGCTTAATCCTTCTTGAGCTCCCTTCTGAGCACCAGCGTAGCGCCTTCCACTTGATCATCCTCTCCTCCCGTAGCCTCCACCGCTCCATTGAGCTGTACTGAAGCAGCACCACCACTGGCCGCCTCTGCCGGATTCCTCACCACAAACATTTCCAATCCATCTCCCACCTCAATCTGACGCTCGGTGGCCGAGGTGAAGCTGTCCATGACGATGCGCAGCACGTCTGGGAGCGCCATGGTGCCAGGCTCGGGCAGAGGACGAGTGGGCGTGGAGAGTTGATTCTTGAACATGATCTGAAGGAAAAGGGTTGGACATTATGCAAGGCATCGTCAGCTGGCTGGCTGGCTGGCGGGCCGTACGACAGGCATTGCAAACGCCGCAAACCTTCTCACCTGGCTGTCCAAAAAGGGTTGCAAAAGGCTCTGGGCAGCACCGGCAGCTCTGCAAAATTCCCTCTCGTAGCTTCCCACCGGATCGAAAGAGTACACTGCACCCTTTCCCTCCTCGTCCAGTCCTCCAAGGATATTGTAGACGTAGTAAGGGAAAAAGCGTTTTCCGTACAGCATGGTGCTGATCAACCTGGCGATGGACGCTAGAGGCATGGAAGAACCGTGGGCGTGCCTGTACATCTCCAACCTCTGCTTGATACGAGATACGAGGGCATCGGCATCGGCGCTGAAGCCATTCGTAGCCAGCGTCGCCTTGTCCGTCCTGCGCGCAAAAGGGGCAGTGGGGGGTGGGCAAGGCATGACATGACATGACATGATGGTAGCGTCAGTGCGCGCTCATTGCGCACGCTCCCATCTATCTTCTTCCCCTTTCGCATTGCCCATCACCGAGCAACAGCGCAGCGCATTCATCGCCAAGCCAAGAAGCCACGCTACTCACAATCTGAAAACCTTGGGCTTGTACCTAGTCATGATGTTGTACCCCTCGCTCTGTCTCGTATCGCCCGCAACCACGCAAAAGTCCTTGCCCGCAATGGCAAGAATGCTACCTCCATTATCGGTATAAGGGCTGAAAGCTCTCTGTTGAGGTCCATGAGCATTCGGAGCCATCTGCTTCTCGGCGGCTAGAGAGGCATTGCGCTGCAAGTGAGCAGATGCGGCCGAGGGACCAAAGCTGATCATGATGGATGGATGATGGCAGGGCAGGGCAGTGCACAGCTGGGTCTTGTGAGGAGTGACGAGGATTGGATGAGGGAGTCTGAGTGATCTGTGGCGGAAGCGCTGTGCTGGCCAAATGTATGTGGAAGGTGAACAGCAGTGTGAGTGTGAGTCTCGATTGTAGAAAGTAATACAAATGCGATGCGTGGCCACATATGCGATCGCAAGAGAGGCGAGGCTTGCACCGACCGACCTCTGTGCTGAACTCACACTCAGTCACGAGTCGTGAGCATAGCGTGCGCCTTCATCTAACGCGCACGCGCATGGCTCGTGCGTCAAGGTCACGCGCGCGCGTGCGGCTCAGCAGCAGCGCTGAACAATCACGCACAATCAACTCATGCACTGCTGCTGCTTATCGAAAGGCTGACGCGGCCGGCCAAGAGTGCCGCGGAGTGCCGCGCGCAGCAACAGCAGCAGGGCAAATAAAAGTCAATTATAATCTTGAATCTTGAATCTTGAATCTTGAATCGGAGGGTTTCTTTCCTGCTGGCACGCTTTGCAGCATCTATGTTGCTTAAAAAAAGGCGTCTCTCGATCTGCAAACCCGATGCTAAGTAAGCAATCACCAGTCAGGAGTGTTTTAATGATGATTGCCTTGTGGACGTGCCGTCCAAGGCATATACATCCCCATTCCATTCCGATCATGAATGAGGCCGGCCCGATCGGCATCGGCCCAAGTCGCTCGCTCGCTCCCACATTCACATTCGTGATTGGATTGCTTCTACGAATCCGCGGACAATTCAATTTCGAAAAGCTTTCCAAGACGAACCTCGTGAACTTTTTCTCCAGAGGAAGAATAGAATGGATACCAGTGACGAAGCAGAACAAAAGGGTACCGTACTGCAGCTGGGAGCGTGATAGCATCAAAGCTCACTTCAGATCTTCCCATTTTGGGGGCGAGGGGCAATTGTGCGCACACCTCTTGAGTTCGGCACGCATTCCACCACTCAGCAATCCCCGCCCCACCCATGTCCAACTGTACATGGCCTCCCACTCTCGCTTGTGAAGCCTCATGATAGTGCTCATCTCATCACATTTCTCGCACGCACGCACGCACGCATACAACGACGCAAATCGATGCACCCGAACCCGACCCCCATTCGCGCACTCTTGCTCCCTCCTTTTCAATTGGCCGATCCTCTTCCGATAGCTCTGACGCTCTTTCCCCCATCGGGCAATTCAGGCAAAGGCAACACGTTCCTCGCATCGTCCTTGTGCGCAGGTCGTTCGAGGAAGCCAGCAGCGACGAGCCAAGCGAGGTAGATGCCTACCAGCTGCTGCGTCACCCCCATCACCGTTCCCGCCGATGCTCCTTCCTGCACAGCGTCCAGCAGCGCGCGCGTGTGCGCATCGTCCAGCTCTGCCGATTTGGTGGAAGTGGGCAGATCATCCAACACTGCGATAAATGGGGGTGCAAAAAGTCCTCGCATTCGCGTCAGGAGGATGCGTGGCATGCATCAAACGCCACGCGGCTCGGCAGAGCCTTCTCTCTCATTCACAACTCACCAAAGTGCAGCAAGGGAAAGAGCGCATTGGCTTCCGTGCTCTGCAAATCTGCGCCTTTCGTCTCTTTCGGGGCAGACTTGAGCACATGCTCCTCCAAAGCCGATCTCCACTCTACATAATCCACCTTTTGCGCGTCCCAACCGTACGTGTGCAGAGCGCCCAGCAGTTCATTGAATCTGATGGTAGGGTGGCCCGTGGCATGGTAAACCCTAGCGCTCGTTCCAGGCACATCGCCTTCTTCCTTTTCCGTAGCGATGCAAGCAAGCGCAGTGATCCTGGCCACGTGGTCCACAGGCACCATGTTGATGGCGTTGTGCATATCCGGTATCAAACCCAGCTGCACGCTTCCCTTGACCAATCTCCAGATAAAGTCGTCCGTATTGGTCACCGCGCTCTTGCTATCTCCCACCACGTAGCCGGGTCGAACGATGCTGGCTCGCAATCCGCGAGAGGCGCATGCCATTACCAGCTTTTCCGACACCCACTTGGACTGACCGTAGCCGGTGCCCAACCCTTGCGCGCTGCCCGACAAATCATCCGTCTCGGGCACACCATTCAGCGCAGCCCCACCCGAAGCCTTGTCCGCTTCGCTCGCAGAGCGCTTCTGAATGATGGAGTCCGAGAGGTGCACATAGTGATCCGTATCCAGCGCGGAGGTGGACGAGACGAAGGTGAGGGTTTTGGGCTTGCCCGTAGCGCACAGCATGATGGCGCACACAGTGGAGAGGACGTTTGCAGCTCGGAGGCGAGTATACGGGTAGACCCAGTGCACCTGAAAAAGGGGTTGTGAGTTGAATAGGTAACATTTAGACTCACACGCTCCAATACGGTAGCAGCGCAGCGAACACTCCCGCTCGACTTACCAGCGCTCCATTGTGCACAACAGCGTCGACCTCTTGGGCCAATCTGACCCATTCCTGCTTCTGCAGGCCCAATCTCTCCTTCTCCAAGTCTCCCACCACCACCTCCAATCGACCCTGTTCGACCCACTCCTCATTCCAAGCCGATCTCGCCAATCCTCCTTCCCTAAGTCTCTGCAGACCTTCTTTTGCGCTCCTAGCCCTCACATGAGCAATGACCCTTTGCACCTTTTCTCTGCGCATCTCCAGCAAGTCCCTGAGCACAAAGGCGCCCAAAAAGCCCGTCGCGCCGGTGAGCATCACGGTGGTCTTCTTGGCGCCATGCACTGCCCGCGCAATGTTGGACAGCGTTCCCGATCCCACAAAAGATTCCGGCAATGCTCCAAGCAGCGGCTCCACATCCGCCGCGTAGTCCTCGTCATAGTTGGCCGGCGCGGACCCAGCATTCCTAAGCGTGCTCTTCGATGTGGCCGCTTCGGCCGCAGAAGCTGCGGGCGCGGAAACATGTCCCAAGTTGAGGTCCGCATCTCTCAGACGGTCCACCTCCCTCGCCAGTCCCTCGATGGTCGGATTGTCAAAGACCACTCCGAGTGGTACAGGAACGACGAATTGTTTGCGCATGTTGAATACCAGGCGCGTAGCCAGGATAGAGTGACCTCCCAGGTCGAAGAAGGACTCGTTCAGCGGCAATGGTTGAGGAGCAGATGGCAACAGTGCCGAAAACAGCTCCTCCATGGCGCTCTCCGTCGGCGTATGAGTCCTTGCTGAGGAATCCTTCGACGAGGGACCCAAAGCACTCGCAAAAGCTTCAGCGCCGCTAGCTTGTGGGGCGCTGCGAGGTGCAGCGGAAAGGGCTGCAGAAGCCAGTGCGGTGTCGGGAAAGGGCAGAGCAGGCTTGTCAATCTTGCCATTAGGGTTCAGAGGCAGTCTGGCCAACGGAACAAACAAAGTGGGAATGCTATAAGCAGGCAATTTCTTCTTCAGATGATCTCTGATATCCTTGATGAGACGCCTGTGCCTGCGCATGCCGCGCACAAGCGTAGCGTTCGTACTGTTGTCCCTTTCCCGTTTCGTCTCTGCGTTGGCCTCGTCTGCACTCGTGCCTTCTTCCATCTGAGCCGCACCCGGTCCAGGCACAAAGTAAGACACCAGCACCTTTTCCTCGTCCTTGTCTCTTCTGACCAGAGTGACATTCTCCCGAACATGAGCATGTCTAGAGAGGTGCGTGTCGATCTCTCCCAATTCTATTCTGAAGCCTCGAATCTTGACCTGATCGTCGGCTCTGCCCGTGCACTCCACCGTGCCATCAGGCAAGTACCTTCCCAGATCCCCAGTCCTGTACATCCTATCCCTCACGCCTTTCCAAAATTGCGCCTCAGACTTGCCCTGCAAGCTATCCTCAAACCTCGCATCCGGCGCCAAAAAGTTGGGCACAAATTTTTCCGCCGTCACTTCTGGCGGTCCGAGGTAGCCTTCGGAAAGGCCTCCTGAGCGCACGTAGATCTCGCCCACTTCTCCCACAGCACAGGTAGCCGTGCGTTCGTTCCTATTGACCACCAGCAGCTGCACATCGATCATGCCCTGTCCAGCGGGCATGATGTCCTTTTGCGTAGCCAAAAACGTCGGCCTCTCCGACACGGGCGGAATGGCAAAGTAGGAGACGGCGCGCTGCGTCTCCGTCGTGCCGTACATGTTGATGATGCGCACATTCTTCGCTAGAGCTTGCAACCTCGTGCAATCCCTCTTGGTGAGCACATCGCCCACAAAGAATGCGTTGCGCAGTTCCGGAATCTTGGCGATGGCTTGCGCAGAGAGAAGCTGACCCATGGCTGGTGTGAGGTGGGTTACGGTGGCTCTGGTCGCAGCCATCCACTCGGCCAGCCTACCGGGCGTGCCGATGTCATCAGCCGTGGGCACGTGCAGCTCGGCGCCAAAGAAGAGAGGGGTAAAGATGTCTCGCTGAATGGGATCGTGGGCGATGCCGCTGAGCATGGTGAATCGAGAATTGGCATCGAGTTGAAAAGTCTGGCCCATCCAAGGGAAGAAGTGAGTCAGACTGTGATGTCTTCCTCGAACGCCTTTGGGGATGCCCGTAGATCCAGAAGTGAAGCTGAGCGTGCCGATGCTGTCGGGGCCCAAAAGCACTCTAGTGCTCTGTGCGGCCGATCTCTGCGCCGCTTCGAGCACGTCCGCCTCGTCGTCCTGCTTGGCACCGCCTCGGACGCCAAGCTCTCCGGTGGTATCGCCATCGGTCAACGTAAGCGCCGGCACCTCCACCTTCAAGTCCAGCTCGTCCTGAATGCACTTGCGAACGCTGGGATGTAGTGTTCCCGCTTTCTCCAAAACGACGAGCGCGCGAGGCTTGGCTACTTGAAGGTAGATGATCTGTCTGCTTGGAGGGTAGGCTGGGTCGATGACGCTAAACGTCCCACCGGCCTTGAGCGTGCCGAGGACCGCCACGACAAGATCAGCGCTTCTGTGCGCATACACCGTCACCACATCCTCCCTCTGCAGACCATTGGCCAACAGATGGTGGGCCAGCACATTGGAAGCACGATCGAGCGCGCCGTAGCTAATCTCTCGCGTGATGCTAGCGGGCGCAGGCAGCTCCATGCTGTTGGGATCGCCAGGTAGACTCTCGATGATGGCCCTCCTTTGTGGATGAGCAGCAGCGTTTCGCTCAAAGATGGAGGTGATGGAACCTTGAAAACCGCAAAAGTCCAGCTCTTTGCGAGGGTCGGGCAGGACCGCATCTTCGGCGTGAGTGCGGAGACCGATGCTGCCGATGGGTGTGTTGGCATTGATAGCTGCTGCTAGGACGACGTGGGACAGGTGTGCGAGCAGAAGCTGCATCCTGGCCGAAGAGAAGAGGAGCGCATTGTAAGAAGCGTGCAAAGAGATGGCAGGCACGATTGGCTGTCTAAAGTTGGCTGCCTGAGGCGTGGAAGGCGTGCTGGCTGCACCGCTTGTTCCCTTCTTGAGCGTGTCGATGCTATCAGAGAGTGAGGAAGCGTTGCCTGACAGGTCATCGAGCTTCGTGCCGGGCTTTGTGAGGAAGAGGGTGAGATCGGTGGTGAGGCTTGTGCTCTGCAAGAAGCTCCTCTCCCTTCCTCCCAGCTCATCAAAGAACCTGACACGAAAGACGGGAGCGCTGGGAGCGGCAGCCGATGATGCGCTCTTTTCCGATTCCAGCCTGGCGACGATATCTTCGTATGGCGCATTGTCCGACGCTGCTTCGGCTTCCACCGCTTGCACCCGCTTCACGACCTGCAAGAAGGGATCGCCAGCCTCGATTGGGATTCTGAGGATGAGCGGCGAGCCATCGATGGGCGAGGAGGAGCCCAGCAGCAGGTCCGTGTCGCCCGTGTAGCGATGCAGCAGCACAGCAAAGGCTGCGAGCAGCAAGTGAAAGGGCGTAGGCGTGCTAGCGTGTGCATTAGCAGCCTGATCACCATCTTGCGCCTCTTGCCCCTCATCGTCGTCGTCGTCATCGTCATCATCATCCGAGCTATCGTCCTGCTGCGCACCATCCAGCGAGCAGTGCAGCGTCAATCGAACGAGAGCATTGCGAACCTTGGCAGACAAGTTGCTGGAGCTGATGGCTTGCACGACTTGGGAGGAGGATGGACGTGGGTAGTCTGTTGGCAAGGCGATGGAAGGCAGGGATTGCAAGCGGTCGCGCCATCGATCAAGTCTGGCTGACGCATCTGCTGCTGCTGCTGCTGCTGCTGCTGCCTCTGTCATCTCGACTGCTCGATTTTGCGATGCCGACGATGTTGGCTGAAGTGGATCTCTTCTGTCCGATCGATGCAATATGATCTGCCGTGCTCACTCGTGCTTGCTGCTGCTGTGTCGATGGGAATGGAGTCGAGTGAGGAGTCTGGAGGAAGTCAGGAGTGGAGACAAAGGTTCGAGTCAAGTCAAAATCGATGGATGAATGTCGCAGGCACAGCGTCGCATCTTTGATGATCCGAGTCAAGTCAAAGAAAGTCATCAGTCGAGCTGGGGCGGGGGGGGG